ATTCCATCGACAGCGAAAATTTGGATAATCACTTATGTAATATCATATTACAGCAATTGTTACTAATAATTGGGTTAGGATACTTGTAATAGTGGTCACACCAGTATGACTGGTAGGTTATGGGACATTTGTGTAACAGATCACATGACATTGTCCTTTGGGACAAGATTGTAGTTACATGAAGAAATGCAAACTGGCAATTAGATAGTACAAACACTAGATAAGTTCTTGTGGCTGTATAAATCTGTTGAAATTAGATAACAAGAAGTCCATTTAAAAAGACCTGAGTAGAGAAGTAGCCAAATCTTCAATAGCTCTACTGTAAAGACTAGCCTTATGAAATAGATATCAAGGTTGAAGTAGCCAGACAAGCAAAAACCTCTAGATGGAGGGTACTACCAACCAGGCTATCAGATCGAGCTAGAGGAAAAGGATATCAGACTAATCTAATATACCAATAGACTGGTCATAAGTTCTATTAAGCTATCTGAATTAGGAGTTTGATAAACTGGCAGGGGTATACTAAAGTATTTTAGATATGCTGTAAAATAAATATTGGGGTTTGTATGAACTTTACAAAAGCATAGTGGTTTAATGGTCAGCCCTAACTGCAAGTATTGGTTTTGCCATAGTGATATCTAGATCAGCTGTAAAAATGGGTACAGAAGGCTCTAGGAGGTTTATCTCGAGAATAAATTAGTTCTAAGGTTGAGATAATGATCTGGGCATCTGAGATAACCTAGTAATGTTAATACAGATTACAGGTTCAGAGGATTTAAAGTAGAACACCCAAGCAGAGGTATAGATATAGCAATTGATAGGGAACCTTTGGGCAAACTTCTTAAATAGGTAATATAAAAAAGTTATATGTATAGCCAATTGTACGCTCTCCTGTAGTGGTTTATTGAACCACAATACCAATAAGTAATTAATAAAAGTCAAAAGACCAAAGAGGTCACTTTAATATCAAAAAAAAAAAAAAAACTCCTTACTAAACCAACTACAAATTATATTTTAAAAGCAATTGCAGCAAAATTGTTTTATAAAGATATAGCATTTTTTAGAAGCTTTATACAAATCATTGCAATCAGACACAACACTAAATTTATAATTTGTTTACAGAGGCTATAAAAAACAACACAATGTATTAGCAACAAACAAAAAAAATTAGGACTAAATTTTTGAACTACTATGAATTAAACTAGCAATAGATTATTTGACTAACCTAAACTTCAATTTAATAGATGCATAGAAAATTACAAGATATACCTTTTACTTAATAGAATTTGCAAAAATTTCATAGCTACTAAATTTTGAAACAATCAAAAAAATAGTATCAAGTCTTATTAATAAGACACTAATATCATTATCTTTGAAACCTATCTTAATTTCTAGTTATCTAATAAAAGCCATCTTTTTTAGCTTATCTATCTCAAATCATCAAATCATTGCACCTGTAGCCAAGACTCTACATTTAATGTTTTCATTTGATAAAATACTTGAAACATATATTTCAAATAATCATAAACTCTTATCAAATTCATATGAACTACTAAATAATGAAGTATGCAACATATTTCTTATTATAAGCAGAGCAGACTTGCAAAAATTTGGCCTAATACAAAGAAATTCTGCAAAAGTCTTATATTTTTTGACAAATTTCATTCAGTTACTTTGAGCTATTAGCACCTAAGAGCCCACTATTTTCTACTTTACAAGACTCAACTCACAAACTAAAAGAAAAGTTTTTTTTCTTATCCAAAAACCAAAAAAATTCAAAGAATATATTAGACTTTTGCAAATAGTTTATTCATTTATAAAACTACCAAATAACTATATTATCTTATATAGACAACTATTTCAAAATTCTGCAGACTTAAGAATGTTAAACCTTACTTTTTCTTTACAAACTGCAGAAAAAGTTAACTTATTTATTAAAAAGATATTATTCATATATAGCATTCTGATACTATTACTAAAAATATACTATGATTTCAATTATACAAAACTTTCAGACTTACCAGAAGATGTCAAACTAGTAATAGCAATAAACTTAACTTTACCAATATCAATTTTCAAAGAGCTACACATTATAGCCAAAGTACTATACTAATATTACTACTTTTATACAATATTTTAATTGTAAAGATTTTGTTATTCGAAGTATTTTGTATATAATTTTGCTAATAAAAATACTTTAAAATTTTATTAAAGAAATTTTGGTAGGTTTAAATAATTTTTAAAAGTACATAAATTTAAAAATAAAAGTATATTAAAAATAGAAGCTTAGTTCACTCATAAGGCTTACTAATCTATCTAGAAGATTTTGGTATATGTTTAATAATAAATAAAGATAAAAATAAAAATAAATATAAATTATTACAAATTAAAGTCAATCATTAATACATATGTTAATCACATTATTAATAAGCAAAATTGCACTATAGGATAAAGTAAATGAGTTATAATAATGCTTATTTATTTATATTACATTTGCTAAATTAATTCTAATTATAATTAATAAATTGATAAACTAAATATAGCTAAATTAATTATAGTAATTAGTATGTAATTAAGAAAAGACTTAGAAAATAATGAAAAAGAAAAATTACAAAAAAATTATAATATTGTTACATTAATCTTGGATAAAAAACAATCAGAACCTAGTAATACTTCAGATAAACTACCTTTTACAATTGAAAAACTGCAATAGGTACTAGTAAAAAAAAAAATTTAATAATATAAATGTTTTTATCAAAAAATATCACAATATTTCTTTGATTTTGAAAACTTTTTAACAAAACTTTTTTTATCACATAGTACCAGAATATATATTTGATCTTATAAATTTACCTAAGCCATTCTTTAACATTTTTAAAAACAAAGAGATAACTAATATAATACTAAAAACACAAACATCTGCAATAAAAAAAAACTTTATAGCAAAAGACTTATAAGTATATATTCTAATATATTCTACAATCAGTAAAAAATATGAATGAATCAAATATATATGAATTTAATATAAATGAAAAATTAATATTACTACTCACAATATTAGAAGCATTAATGATATATTAAAAATGCAAACCTGAATTAAACACTATGCTGAATCAAACTTATATATAATTTTTTTTACTGAAACCAAGCTAAAGAACTTGATAATGAAGTCACTAACTATCTCTTTATATAAAATCTATATTTCAAACTTTGTATCATACAAACCAAACTAATATGAAGCCAGTTTGGAAACTGCTTTAATGATTTGCAATCAATTACAATTATATATTTACAAAATTAACACCTTTTAAGAAATAGCTATATGTCTTGATTTCTTTTTTCCTAATAACAACAAATTTTTGTTATTTTAATTTACCTTTCTTCAAATTATTCATTTTTTTTAAAAAATACTCAATCTCAATTACTTATTTAAATTATAAAAGCTAGGACCAAAAACTAGCATCTAATCATATTAGATAATTTTAATACTACCATATTTTCCCGAAATTAAGCTACCCTCGAAAATAAGCTACCCTCCCTACTTTGGTTAAAAACTTCTAATGTACCTAATACCTAAAAATAAACTACCTTTTAATTTTTGTCTAAAAATCTAGAAAATTTATAATTCCGAAAATAAACTACCTGTATAAAAGTTATAACCTCCCAAATCTTAACCAATCAAACTTTAAAATATTCTAAATAGATTAAACCTGTGCATATAGTAAAGCTGTTAAATGTATAATGGCATTAAATGTTTATATCAGCTTTGCTGTTTACTGTAATTATTCTGCCATTAAAAGTATTTTTTTCAGATCCAATAATTAAAAATCTCGAAAGCATTTTATAAATTTTTCAGCGACTCTTCAAATTAGTAAAACCTTATTATTCACTTATTAGAGGGTTTTAAAGTTAACAAACAAAGTGGTGCATTTTGAAATTAAATAAGAGTTTGAAAAATCTTATTTGTATTTTAAAAAATTTTGAAATCAGAAATAGAATAGGAGAGTCTGAAGATCATTTCAAATTTATCAGAAAAAATACAGTTGTTATATTGCTCATCCTACTTAATTTAAATGTACCAAGAAGATCGATTAGGTTTAAGTCAAGATCTCTAAAACCATTTTTTTTTTATATATCAATCATAAATATAAGTGACAATTTATCCAACTGATCTGTCATCATACCCAAATGGTATGTACCAAAACCATATTTACATATTTTAAAAGACTACTTTGCTTAACTAAAAAAAAAGGTTATACTAAATACATTCTAATCATAATATTTATTATACCTTCTGTGTCCTAATTTTATATACTAATATTCTAATTATAACTGTACTGCCCAATTTTATTAGCTTTAATTTTATGCATAAATGAAGCCTCTATATAAGTTAACTCTTGTTACGCTTCTGCTTATAAATTTTCAAAAAATTACACTGAAACTATAGACATCAGATCTCATATTACTTCTTTGATTATTAAATTAATATGTGGAATAAATGCGCAATTAATACTAGTAATAGGATAAAGATAGAATCGTGAAATAAAATTGTATATATACTTGTGTTGCATTTGCCAATTAGCGATATTTTTAAAATCCTCAGATTGCTGACAAGTACACCACTGATATTTGTTTTAAGACATTTAAACAACTATTAGTATGTAACTTTCTATGATATTTTAAAGCTCAAAAACATAGCATTTATTGTATTATCAAAAATAACTACATTATTATTGATAATAATTTTAGCTCTATTCAATATGCAATCAGTTTCCTCGCAGTTTCTTAATGCGGATATATTACTTGATTTGTCTTTGATGTTTTTAAATCCAATGATCGTTCATGTTCACTATGCAAATATATTTCTAGTACGTATGAAAATCATTTATAGTTCTAATTTAAACATATATTTTATTAATAAACATTCTTATAATATTATAACCATAAGTAATAATATTTACTTGTAATAAATTTATTCTTACCTTGAATATATATATATTTTAAATAACAACAAAGCATTCTGGCCAATTATTAAAATTATTTTTCTTGTTAGTATTTTCATCTGAACCTTTGCCTATATCTTCATCTGTATCTTCACTCGAATCTTCGACTGCACTATAATCTGCAATCTCATATTCATTATTATTCTCATTTTCATCCCTGTTATTAACAGACTTAGCATCATCTAAATCCTTACTATCATCTTCGTAAATTAAATAATCCTTACTTCCCGATAAGCAATTAGAAATACCGCATTTTTTAAATGCCTGAATAATAATATTATGAGAGATATCATCTCATGCATTTAACACCCAATAACATACTGTGTTTAAATCTGCATGCTTTAAATTTCCACCCTTAGTAAGACCATTACCACTATTTGCCATCTACCTATGCCAGTGTTAATAGCAATAAATAGATAGAACAATAGAATAAAGCAATAAAATTTAAAATAGAATAAATAGAATAAGATTTTTATCAATAGAACAAAAAATTACCAACAAGATTATAATAAAATAATATAGCAATAAATAAATAGAACAAAAGAACAATAAAATAGAATAAAAATTAGAATAGAATAAGATTTTTGTCAATAGAACAAAAAATTGCCAGATTATAATTAGATATTAAATATAGCAATAAATAAATAGAACAAAAGAACAATAAATAGAGCAATAGAAATTAGAATAAAATATAATTTTTATTAATAGAACAAGAAATTGACAATACTAACCTATGTCACTGTTGACGAAGCTTATCTTTGAAAGGCTTATTTACACAGACATCAAGAGTTTGATACATGCTAGTAAGACTCTTGGAAATAACAGCTAGATCTGTATTACTTGAACGCAATGCAGACTTAATTCGCTCTGAAATATGTGCTGAAAAAGAATCTAAGACAAGCATTGTTTTTGAATAAGGTCTCTCTGGTCACATTCTATTCCAATATTTTATCCATCGTTTTATTCCTAACTCATCCATCTATCCTTTGTCTTGAAACCAAACAATTACACCAACTGGAGGAGGGGGCGTATTAGCAAGCCAAATCTTTTCTTTAAAAATAATAACTGGGGGAGCTTAGTGCCATCAGCAAGGCATGTTAATACCATGGTAAATCGATTTTTGTCATTTCCTGTTGACCGAACATGAATTGTTTTCATGCCTCTTGGATTTACAGTTAAGTTACATATCATATTAAACCAAATCAGCATCTTATTCATATTTGCAATCATACCAAGAGGATAATTATTTTTCTGGCAAAGGCAAATAACAAACTGTTGAAACTTTAATAGCTTATTCTTGAGGTCATCAGGCAACTTTTGCGCAATATTAGTCTTGCGGCAAAAAGAAAGGTCATAATGTTTTAAAAAATGACCAAGCCAATGCTGTGAAAACTTAAAATTAGCAATTGCTAACTTCTCTGCCTCATCTTGAGCTAGTCTTGCACTTGATCTCATAATTTCAACCATTTTTATTTTAATACTAGAATGATTAACTGTGAAACCATCTTTACGAAGCTCTATTATCCATTTATAGAGTTGGGCTTCTTCTTTAGGAAACAATGCATAATGTCCAGAACCAACCCTTCGAGAACTCTTTTGAAGAGGGGGTCTTGTGAAAATTGTTTAACCTACTGACCAACTATTGTTAAATCAAGAGAATAGCAGTGAGTAGCAAATTTATTTAAAGTATGACGTGCCAATTCTATAACTTTACTTTTTTCTTCAACTGTGTAAGAGTTTTGTTGCCTTTTCATATTTACTATAGTAAGGCCACACAAATGAAATTAATTAGTTTTTGTAGCCTGAACAGGTTGTAAATTTTATTTAGAGTTTTTTTCCTTTTTTTTTTTTTTTTTTAAAAAAAAAAAAACTATAAAATGAATCTTTTTTTAAATAACAAGCAACAAAATGTTACAGGATTAATTAAATTACAGCTTATCATTATCATTATGAAAATTTTGATTATGCAAAATGCGAATTTTAAAGTTAAATTCTTCAACAAAATGTTGCACAATCAATTAAAGTTATAGCTTATCATCATCATTATGGAAATTTGGCAAAATTTAAAGTTTAAGTAAGTTTAAACAAGTTTAAACAAGGTAACTTCTTGAGAAAAAAATAATTGTTACTCTCAAGGTTGCTTATTATGGTAAATTACCAGTAAGTTACTATGGAATGGTAAGTTATTGTAAAATATAAATAAAAATGCAAGTGATATCAGTAGCTTACTATTTTAGTAACTTATCACTAAAAATTATAAATTATGTACTATTCTCCAATTTCAACTTGCAGGTGTATTTTTTTAGTAAATTTAACTTGGTGTATGATTGCCATTGAGATGTAGAACACTGACTATGTATTATTTATATTATGCATAATGATAATAATAATGATAATGCTTATTAATTAAAGATCCAGGCACACTTTTTAAGAATTTAACACATGAATGCTGCAAAATAAATATTTAAGTTTTTATTGCAGCGAACCTACATAGCCCTAAAGAATCAGCTATACGTATTAAATATTAATATTCTATTGTTGTTAGAGCATATATAATAAATTATAAATACCTGTAGATAACTCACTATATGCAGCAAAAACTCATTTAACCTTTAAAAAATAGTAAACATGAGGATCTTTAATGCTAAAGTTTGTATTTCCAAAATAAGCTACTTCGTTAAACTAAATTACTTTTAAAAACTATAAATCCTGAAAATAAGCTATCTCTTGTGTTATATTTAAGTTATTTTAAAAGCTATAACTCCTGAAAATAAGCTACTTACTGTTTCTTGTATTCAAAATCTCCTAAAAAAAGGTATCTTAATTTCAGGAAAATACAGTACTTCTTTTGTCCATCTATGCAATAGCTTTACTTAATGCTTTTACTGCTGCTATATCTGCTACATCTGCTACAAACAGTAATGCTGTATATCTGTTTATTCTTGTTTCTATAACATCTGTTGTTTCTAGTGTTTTGATTAGCTCTGCATTGCCAACCCTTTGTAAGCTTTGTGCTGTTGATCTTTCTAACACCTTTTCTAATAGGCTTCTAGGTCTTACTTCATATGTATTTTCTCCTATACTAATTGTTGTTGTTTTATTTATTAGTTGGTTTAATATAGCTGTCTCTATGTCATATGCTTGCTCTGATAGACTATTTTTGTACATGTTCTTGTTTGTTTACCTTATTTGTTTTGTTGTATTTTCTGTATAATCTAATTGATCTGTGCAACAGAGTCACAAAGATTTCTCAAAATTTACAAAAAAAATTTTTGTTTTCATCAAAAATTTTTTATTTTTCTAAGCTTTGCTACCTCTAAGCTTTTCTATTTATATTTTGTTCTTTAGCTAGGTGTAACTTTTGTAACTCTTTTTTTTTACTAAGGGTCTTAGTATTGCTTTTTAGTATGTTTTGCAATATTTTCTATATTTTGCTTCTCACTGATTTTTGATCAAAAAATCTACAGAGAGTGATCCAAAAATTTTTTATAAGTTTATTAAATAAATTTTGATAAATTTAATTAAAAATATAATATTATAAGATAATTTTTAAATATAAAAAATAACAAATTTATATTAAATATTATATTACAACTAAAATTATTATAAAATTTGTAGATATTTTATAGTAATTGTTTTTTTTTTTTTAAGCAGTCATGCTAGTACTTTATTAAGATTTTAAAATTACATTTGCAATTATATTAATATTCTTAACAACTAAGCTCAGCATTACCTGGCTATTCTAATAGTACCTAAGTACAACTTGTTGTATTACTTTAAGCAGAAGTAAGCTGCTCATCTAACTACTTAAAGTCTATAATAAAAGGGTCTTCTTCTTTTTATAACAAGCTTTAAAATTGTTTTCTGAACTTTTTTTTTGATTTGTTTTTCTTTTTCTTTTATTTTTTTTTTCTTCTATTTTTTGTTAATTTGGTTTTTCTTTTTTACTTAATACTTTTTTTTCCTTTTTTTTTTATTTTATTCTATCTATTATTTCTTTATTTTTCTCTTATTCATTAGTTTTTTTATATTAAATTCTTTATACTAATTCATAAAATGTATCTTAGGCCATTCTTGCTATTACATTCATAAACTGCTACCTTGATTTTTGCTTCGAAGCTGTCTTAATCTGTTTTGTATTTTTTTTAAAATAAAACCTTTAATTAGTATTTTCCTTATTTTTATTTTTTTTTACTTCTGTTTTTCTAAAGAAAACTGTATATAGTATATATAGAAGAACCTGAACTTTTTTTTCTTCTTTTAGGCTCTTCTAGGCTGTTGTAATAATTACTTTTGAATTCTTTTTTAAAGATTCCTTTGTCTCTTATATGCTGCCAAATATGTTTGTGTTTTTTTTATTTTATCTTAGCATACTTGATATTTTATTGTTGTATATACATCTGATCTTCTTTTATTAAGTTTTTTTAAGATTAGAAGTTTATTCATTATATACTTTATAAATGCACTTCTTTTGACACTACTTTTTTTTGTTGTGCAGTATACTTCTTTAGATATCTTTAGTCTTTTTTAAAAGTATATTCAATTATAAATTGTAACTTCTGTTTCTAGTTCTAATTTTTTAATTGCTTTCATTTCTTTCTATTCTGCTTCTAATCTTGCATTATTATTAACTTGCAACACAATTTTGCTGATATATAAGTACATTTATTTTTTTACTTTAAACAATACTTTATTTTTAAAGTGTAGCAACCTAGTAAAGTGAATAGGTTGTTAACTCTCAAGTGGCAGGTCTAAGGTTCAATTCCTACAGATAACAAATTTTAGAAATTTTATCTGTGTTCTAGTAACTGTCTCTTGCCGATCAGTTGAATTTTGGGCATCTGTAATCGTAAGTATACCAAGTTAGGCCCCATCTGACATTGGAAGCTTGGGGCATCTATGTGAAGTGTAATGTTACATGTACATAGAGGAATATGAAAAACCAGTGTCAGATAAGGCTTTGGTGCAAACTTATGATAAGACCACTAGGTGTAGAAGGCTAAGAAACCAAGAAGACAGAAACTCACTTGGAAATCCTAAGTAAAGAGGTAGCACAAACTTTTAATAATGCTATTGGGCCAATAGAAGCCTATGAAACATCTTTATAAGAACTGTCAGATAAACTGAATGACAAGATGTATAGAGGAGCACATGACCAACCAGGCTGTCAAAATTACCAGAAGCAAAGGATACATAAGTATACTATATCAGGCCATCTGAATTGAAAGTCTGAAGAAGTTTATTGTTAGTTCTGAATTGCAGTTAGTAGAGGATAATAGAAAAGAAATCAGAAAGATAGGTACTAGGGTTTGAGTAAACTTTACAAGAATAATAACAGTTTAAAATGTAACCCTAACTGAAGTGTTGGCCTTGATCATAGCATCAAACCAGGTTAGCAGTAAAAGAGAATATGGCTCACTCTGGTAGGTTTACTTTAAGGATAAAAATAGTCTAAGGATTATAGTTCTATAGTTAAAAATGAATAGATCTAAGTCTGTGATCTGGTGAAATTAATACTAGGATCAGATCAGAGAGTTTAAATAAAAACATTTAAGCAAGGGTGTTAGGTACAGCAACTGGTAGGGAACTTTTGGGTGAACTTCTTAAATAGGTAATATAAAAAAGTTACATGCATAGCCAGTTGTACACTCATCTGATAGTTCATTATGGATACATCTATATAAAACATATACCCAATATAAGTATTAATAAAAAGCTAGGACCAAAGAGGTCATCTTAATATCGAAAAAAAAAATTTACTTTATTTTTTTGCAACTAACTTTTTCAGCCTGTATTATCCCTTTACTTGTTGCATCTTTTTTTGCTAGACTATTAGCTTTATCATTTCATCTATCTTTACTATAACTTTAACTTTAAAAAACTCATTTGAATGTTTTTTATTATAATAAGATCTCTAATTTTTATTATTTACACAGATTAAACAAAAAAATATCAATATTACATTAGCATTTTTTTAAACCTAATATTAAACTAATATTAGTTAAAATTTGGCTAAAATCAGAAACCTATAGAATAAAAATTAGTGGCATATTAGCTTTAAGCAATATCAAAAAGCTAATAGCTCTATAGACAAATTGATAATACTATTGATCAATTGATCAATAGCTATTAATCAATTGATCAATAGTACTATTAATTTGTCTATAGAGTTATCAGCTTTCTAATATTGCTTAAAGCTAATATAATACTAATTTTTATCTTATCTCTTAGATTGTAACACAGGCAAATTTGCCAGCGTTAATTTTTTTAAAATTAATTTTTATAATAAAATTTTAATAATTAATTTTAGCAATATACTTTCTAAGCAAAACATATTTTTAAAAATCTACTTTATAAACTTTGCTAAGAAACTTTTTAAATTTATTAAAGAACTTTTGATTAATTAAAGTGCAAAGTTTGTGTAACATTAGGGTTTACTATTAAAATATTTTTTAGC